TCTTGGGAAGAAAGGTTAGCCAACAAGACACCATCTGATAAATAATTCACTATATCTGCATACCAAGGCACATTAGTCACTTCACTCGCATGCTCATATGGAAAGTCATCATTTATACCAACATGCTCATGCAATGCAAGTGAAGGTTCAGAGGGAACAATACGAGACAAATGATCAGCAACAATATTTTCACACCCTTTTCTATCTCTAATCTCTACATCAAACTCTTGCAAACGAAGAATCCACCTAATAAGCCTAGGTTTCGATTGAGTTTTACTCAAAAGATACCTAAGAGCTGCATGATCAGAATGCACAATCACTTTAGACCCCAAGATGTAGGATCTAAATTTTTCAAGAGAAAACGCAATAGCTAATAACTCTTTTTCAGTGGTCGTGTAATTCAATTGGGCACCATTTAGGGTCAAGCTAGCATAATAAATTACACGAAGCAATTTATCAACTCGTTGGCCCAAAACGGCTCCCACAGCAAGATTCGATGCATCACACATAATCTCAAATGGTAAAGACCAATCAGGTGCAATCACAACAGGAGCTGTCACAAGCTTATTCTTCAATTTATCAAAAGCCTCAACACATGCATTATCAAACAAAAATGGCATATCATTAGCAAGCAAGTGACACAAAGGCTGTCTGATTTTTGAAAAATCTTTAATAAATCACCTATAGAAGCCAGCATGCCCTAAGAAACTCCTAACACCTTTCACATTCATAGGCGGGGGAAGTTTTTCAATAACATCAACTTTTTCTTTGTCAACCTCAATCCCCCGACTAGACACCACATGACCTAGCACAACACCACTAGTCACCATAAAGTGACTTTTCTCCCAACTCAAAGTCAAGTTCGACTCAATGCATCTTTCAAGAACACGAGATAAATTATGGAGACAATTAGAAAATGAAGTACCAAAAATAGAGAAGTCATCCATAAATACCTGTAAGCAGTCCTCGAGCATATCAGAAAAGATGGAGAACATGCACCGTTGGAAGGTCCCGGGTGCATTGCAAAGGCCGAAAGGCATCCGTCTGAAAGCAAATGTGCCGAATGGGCACGTGAAGGTTGTCTTGGGCTGATCTTCCGGAGCTATGGCCACTTGGTAATAGCCCGAGAGACCATCGAGGAAACAGTAGAATTGGTGTCCAGAGAGTCGGTCGAGAATCTGATAGATAAATGGCAATGGAAAATGGTCCTTCTTTGTCACGACGTTGAGTCGCCGGTAATCAATACATATCCTCCACCCGGTAGTGATTCGGGTGGGAACCATCTCCTTCTTCTCGTTTTCAATCACTATGATGCCCCCTTTCTTTGGCACCACATGAATGGGGTTGACCCACTCGCTGTCGGCCACTGGGTAAATGAGCCCCTCGGAGTAGAGCTTCAACACTTCCTTTTTCACAACCTCCATCATATTCGGGTTAAGCCGCCGCTGGCTATCCCGAAATGGCTTGGCACCTTCCTCCAAAACAATTCGATGCATGCAAGTAGAAGGACTGATCCCATTGATGTCACCGAGGCTCCAACCAATGGCCTTCTGATTCTTCTTAAGTACCCCAATCAGCTTCTCTTCTTCTTCCCGGTTGAGTTCGGCAAAGATGATAACCGGCTTTTTCTTCTCATTATCAAGGAAGACATACTTGAGGTGACGAGGCAACTCTTTCAACTCTAGTGCTGGTGGGACTATCAATCTCAACTCTTCGACCTCCATCAGCTCAATAAACGGTCCTTCCTCATCCTCAAGATCGGGCATCAATCTCTCTTCTAAATCTCGAAAGGCAATCTTCTCCACGAACGGGTCACTCGCATCAACAAAGGCGCACTCCTCTACATAGTTCGCCGAAGGGCCAGATGTGGCCTCTCGGACAGAGATAGACACAGACTCTTCTAGGACCGTCATGTTTAAGGTCCCGTTCTTGACATCAATGAGGGTGTTGGTGGTGGCGAGAAGGATAGTGTGGTCCTTCCCGTTCTCGTGAACGTCCCCCACATCTAGTACCACAAAGTCTACCGGGAAAATGAGTCTCCCGACCCGAACAAGGACATCCTCAACTACCCCCTTAAGGTATCTGATCGAACGGTCTGCGAGCTGAAGACACATGCGAGTAGGTCTCAAATGTCCTAAACTGAGCCGCTGGAAAATAGAAAACGGCATGAGGTTGATTCCCGCTCCGAGGTCGAGCATCCCGGAAGCCTCTTTTCCATTCCCAAGAGCATTCTTTATCACGAAACCTCTGGGGTCTCGTTCCTTCTTTGGAAGATCATGTTGCATAGCACTCGCTGCTTTATAGACTATCACCTTCTCCCCGTCTCCGAACTTCCTTTTCTTTGTGACCAAATCTTTAAAGAACTTAACGTACGATGGCATACTCTTGATCACGTCTAGGAGAGGCAAGTTGACATTGACCTTCGAGAGCATATTGTAAAGGTCCCGAAATTGTTGTTCCTGCTTCTCATCTCGAAGTCTACTCGGAAAAGGGATGCGTGGCTTATATGGGTTTGGGGACTTGTGAAGCAATGAACTCTCTGTCGGTTTTCTTGAATCGGTCTCTGTGTTCTTTGCGCTCTCCTCGGTCCCGTTGGGCTGGTCGGTTGATTTGGGCTCATCAGGCTCGGGCATTCTAACTTTGTTGTCCACTTCCTTACCGCTCCTCAACACGGTTATTGCTTTGGCTTGCTCTGGCTGGCTCGAAAGTTTCCCTTTGTCAGATTCGGCTTCCAGGTTCCTGACTCTTGTGGCGAGCTGACCCACTTGCTTCTCGAGACGCTTAATGGATGAGTCCTGGTTGGTGATAAACTGAAGGATCTTGTCCAGCTTGTCATCTTGGTCTGACGAGCTTGAACCGGACCCTTGGGCTGGCTGTTGGGGTTGTTGTTGTTGTTGGTAGTTCGGGCGAGGGATGAAA